GGAGTTCCGGTTAATAGAATGGGTTCCCTAAACACCTTGGGGGAATCCATTCCAATTATCTCTAAGACTCCTCGGCAAATAGGAGAGACCAACAGGGATAGGTCGTCGACGATGGTGCAAAACGGGGCACCTTCGAGCAACCTAGAAAACTCAACTTCAACCTCCCAGGGTCAAGTGACTTGGAGGACAAGTAATCCTAAGTTCATAGAGATTTACAAAACCTAGCCTATTAGAATCCTAAGTGGATTCTCCTACACTAACAAATACGGTGACATTGCTAACTAAAGTTAGGGGTTGGTTGAAATGGCAAGGCACAACATTTTTTGAGGAAATTAATGGTCCAGTGTTCCTCGATCCGCAGCACAGCGTGAGCGAGCAAAGGGTTTGAACATTTTTGAACGCCGAGTGGATGGGGCTGATGGGAATTGAGGTGGGCTAGATGTGCTATTATAGGTATGTTTCTGCTCTTGGGCACCACCATGATAATTGGTTGCTCCGAAAGGTGAAAGGTGAAGGGGGACCCCTTGCATTATTTCTAAGGAAAACTAATGAAAAGGGTTTGAAAATTTTGAGTTTTAACGATAAGGACAAAATGAAGAGTAAAGTGAATAGTATCATGATTGACTTTTTAGTGTAAAAATATAATTTTTCGTTAAAGTGAACAGTACCGAGGATTTTTCGTTAAAGTTCCCTTATTTCTAAAGACAAGAACGCGGGTGGAGTTGGGTTCCCAAGTATCAACATATAACCCCATACAGAAAGGAAAACCAGAGATATGCGTTGAGCCAGTTGAGGGCATGTGAGAAAATCACAAAACCTACAAGAAGTTAAAGTTCAAGAGGCCCTACATATTCAGGGAGGCAGGTACATTGGAGAGATTTTTTTCTTTCTAGTTTTTTATGAGCTTAATTATAGGAGAAAAGTTGTTCTATTTATTTACAAGTTTGATGTGAAGCCATACATAACATATTAATAACTTATTCTAATCATATTGTTCATCTTATTTGAACTTAAAAAAAAAAACGGTGGAATAGACAAAACAGTCATAATAAGAGGTGAGGAATTTAAAGTAGGTCAGTCATAATAAGTTGATATCGGATTCACCATTCACAATGGATGTAGAATAAGAAATCTGGTCTAGTAGCAAAGTATATAGGGCTCAAATAGAATATTGCGAGGTTAGGGTTTAGGGGATGACCTACTTTGATGCATGTCGATTGAGTAAGGGACGAGACATATTTATTTGGTCGCTCCGTGCGTACATTTCTTTGCATTCATCATTCGTTTTTGTATGAATATATAGCGAGTACAACTTATAGCACGTTAGCTGCTGCTGGATTTATGATTGCTCCTAAGAAAGATACAAAAAGGAAGGATTGCCTGCCAGCCTATAGAATGAGTATAATAATTGGGACGAATGATCCAACTTGATGAAGTGATATAATCTTGAAACTTATTATATAATATATGTTATTATTACTGGGAGAGGCCAGCTGGTGAAGAATTCTAAACCCTTTTGTTCGCATCAGGAATTTCCGTCGGGGATGTTTCCTGGTCGACGAGCACACAGCTCCCCTGGAGGTTGGCGCCGGTTGAGGGCTGCTGTCGGGCTTCTGCTTCATTGTCGGGCGTTGTCGGGCAAGTCTCGTCGGGCAAGTCTTGTCAGGCAAGACTCTTCGGGCAAGGCTCGTCGGGCAAGGCTGAAAGAGAAGGATAACGTTAACTTTGAGAGGTGCCTTTGTGGGGCCTTAGGTGTAGGCCTTGAGGCTCACAATCAAGGTTAACATTTAGGTGCTCAGGCGTGCCACTGCCATCTTTAGCATGTCAGATGTAAAATGGATGTCGCGTTTTAGTTGTATATATGTATGTATCCAAGAAACCGTGTTAGTTATAACAGGTGCCTTTGTGGGGCCTTAGGTGTAGGCCTTGAGACTTCCCGTCAATAACTAAACCAGTGCTCGAACACATCACATTTGTTCTCGTGATTGCCGGAGTTTTCTAACTATTATACTTCTGATTACCCGAGTCCAAGAAGTAGAATGAACCCAAATAGGTGCCTTTGTGGGGCCTTAGGTGTAGGCCTTGAGGCTTCCCATCAGAGTTCGTTCTTATACTTAAACTCTCCAGATCGCAGAACGGAATGAATCCAAATGGATGCCTTTGTGGGGCCTTAGGTGTAGGCCTTGAGGCTTTCCATCAGAATCCATTCCATGCTCAAGCGTTCTATGGTAATCATAATATAATAGAAATAAAACTAGAGAGTAGGTCGATTACTTGCGCCCCAAGTAACTTCGGACTTCTCGTTTATCAAGGACTGTCGTGGATGGGTTAAGTCCACATAAGGTTCTTTTTTATGCCTTGAGGCCAAGGACTTTTAACTGATCAGATTTACATGCCCGAGGGCTTAGGACTTGGATCTGGTTTGAATACTGAAGATATATTCAAATCGGATTCAAGTACTGAGAAAGCCTTTTAATAGTCATATTGCTAGAAATAACTTGCATATAACTGGAAGTATACAACATATTGAAAAGACAAAAACAAAGCAAAGAAGGTCGGGTAAGGTTAAACCTTATCAGGTAAGGTTGCCCGTCTTGTAGGTTCCTATCTTTGTAGTTTTGTCAAGGGTCTGAAAGCTTAGAGGGATAGAGAGAGAGATTTACAAAAGATGAATCGATACTACAGCAGGGTGAACAAGGTAGCAGAGCTATTACAAAGGTTTGAAGGGAGGGTTATCTCGCGAGGGATGAAGGCTTGTCCCGAGAGGGATGAAGGCTGACTACAGCTTTGTTTTGAAGGCGAATCTGGCTTTGAGCAGAGTTTGTGCTTGCATTTGTTTGTTTGATTGAGTGTCCTTATTCCTGGTTTTTCTTTCTTCTTATATGGATAACTCGGCTTGGCCTTCTGTAGCAGCAGCCTTGCCCGAATGCGGTTTGAGGGTGATGACTCATCAGCTTTTTTACATGTACTGCCATCATAAAGTACTTTATGGGCTGTGTAGCTGATCAGTCTATACCACTTGGCCTTTGGGTAGGTAAGCAAGTGGTCTTCATGAGCTGCACCAAGTCAGAAAAGGCCCTTTCTGCCTGCTGGGCTTCAGCTATCTTCCCTTTCGGGTCTCCTTTTGGGCCAGCTCCTTTCTTGAGCCCAAAGTTCAAGTTTTGATCCAAACACCTTTATTACTCTAAAAGTGGTCAAAATAAAAGTACTTGATCATTGCTAATGATGTGTTTCAGTGTACAACACCAACACACCAGATCCAGTTAAGTTACATGTGAATCAAATTAAAGAATATGGGGCGGAAAGTCGGCTTGTTTAGAACACAAATGCACTTTAGCAGTGATTTTGTGTTGATCGATCCTATTGCTGGACTTCATAAGTACTTAATTAATCTGTTGCTCCTAATAATTCACATACAGAGTTCAAACTTCCAATTTTTGTGCACTGGAATACAACTAAATTAGGTGGCCGACAATTGACAACTGATCAGTCATAATCTACTGGAGCAAACAGCAACGCGGCTAATCTACCGAGCCATTCAATATGATTAGCCATTTATATATGGATGAGAGTGTATGGCAACAAACCAATTGAGTAAAACTTAAGAGTTTTGCTTATCCTAATAATGCAATTTTCTCTTTCTCTTTTGTAGGAAAAAAAAATAGTCTTAATGATCTAGTAGAACATGAAGGCTGTAATGTTAACCTGAAGAGTGTTACCTTAGTTGTTTGTGTTTTGCAGTCTCAATTTAGGTGAGTTTTTGTAGTCTCGCTATATGCTATAGGCGAGTTTGATGGTCTCACTATATATGAGCTTGGTCATTGTGAGGTCGATCATGTTGAATCTACAAATAATTGGTGATTTGAGGATTATGAGGTGATTTGGAGCCACGATATCCTTCTTTGTATTAGATAGAAGCATGGTGTTTTTCTATCCCACGATTAACAGTTTTGCAAGGTTTTATCTCACACATAATCTTGCAAAATTGGATGCATTCGTCTCTATGGATCTTTCTCGTCTTTCAGATCGTTTCATCATTTTATAAGTAGTATTTTGCATTTCCTGATTTTGCTTGCAAGTACCACCTTTCGGGGTCGCAGTACCCTTCTTATCAGTAAAGCTAGCCACTTTCAATCTGGATGGTGCTCACCACATGGCTTTTACTCAAGGCTGGTTTTATTTCCAGAAACAAGCAAAGGGGCTGTCAATTCTGAGCTAAACTAAAGTTCCAAAACAAACGGAAAACAGTCTGAATTCCTCCCCAAGCTTCAGAGTAGGAAAGGGAGAGGACTTTTTGTTTTGGGGTACCCCCTTTACCATATGGCTTATGAATGAGCTAGTTTGCTAGCTCAGAATCTGACACGAGTAAAAACACAAAAAAGTAAAGAAAAAACAAAGAAAAATGGTAAAACAAATGAAGAAAATATTTGTTTAGGTGGGTGGCTTTAGAGTGTGTAGACCCTTTGGTAGGCAACTTTCCTTTTCTTGCTTGCAAGTGCTGTCCAAAGGCAAAGTTAAAAAACAGTACGGAAAATATACATTAAAAATCATTTTCTTCTTCTCCCACTCCATTTTATCTATAAAAAGAAATTGACTAAAATGAACAGAAACCAAATTCCAATTGCGGAACTGACTAAAATATCAGCGATATATAACGATCAAATATTGATACATAGCAATCTGATATCGAGAACATACTTAAAAAATGATTATTTCAGCAATGATATTGAAAATGGTCATTAATTTTGGCTAAATATTCCAGCTTAAAAGGGAAAATTTCCAGGAGAACTCTGCTGGTTGGAATACTTATGAACAGATAGCCTTTCTCTTGATATGGATACAAAATTGTGATAATACAAGACACACCACCAATCAAACATTTAGTTTTTTTATGCCAAACTAAAATTAGAATAGATTGGAATGATTGTTGCGTTATTAAGCCCTAGAGCCTAGACAAACATGCTGCAGCTTTAAAATTTATGAGCATGGGGGCCAAGAAAAACAAAGAAAATGGAACTTTGGATTTAAAAGAATGTGAACCAAACAGTTGAAGCTCAGGCCATTCGGCTTTGTATTTAACAAAATTGAGAGGACCAATTGTCTAAAATTACCTGCTTACTACTACTACCTAGAACCTTTCCTCCTCCAAGCAAAGCGAAACAACGCACCCCCTGAGCACCATCTATCTCAAAATCTCTGAATGTTTTCCAAGTGTATCTACCTACCTACCTGCCTACAAGAAAACTGCACTGCCGAGGACAACTCCAAGTATCAGCAGAATGTTTTTAAAAGCATCGCTGTGGAAGTTGTAGGAAGAAGAATCCACACTAGTCGAATTTAACGATGGAGCCGTGATGTTTGCCATGCTGCCATTCTTGCCAAGACTGCACCATGCACAAAAGAATAACAATCAAATGGTGCCAATTTCCTTGTACCCCCCAAAAACTAATTAATATTGTTACTCATCCAGCGAAGTGTAGAGAATGAGCAGAAAATTTACCTTCCCGGAAATATGCAGGAACCATGGCCTGCATAATTGAAACAAATTTGTTAACAAGATGCATAATAATAAATTTCATAAGTTAATATAGAACCTAAACTGATAGCATGTTGCATACTATAAGTTTGAGGTCTTACTTGGATCTGTTGTGGTGATTGTAGCCACTCCATTGAAGTCGCATGACGCGGAAGTCATTCCCATCTGATGGTAGTAAGTATCAAATGCATATGTTGCATGTGCAGCCACATCGTCAGGCTCGTAGCATGGTTGTCCCTGCAGTAAAGCTGAGCAATCCACCTTGCCAGGTCCACAAGCCCAATCTAGCGCAGCCTGAAGCATTTTCGGATCAGCTCCATCCTTCATAGTACAGAAAGTTTGGTTTGTTGTATCATTTGCTAATACTGCTCCTGATCCTGTCAAGCGTAAAATGTAGATAGGTGTCCCATTTGCATCAAACAGTCCCCAGTTCTTCTCTGAGACGGGTCCAGGTTTTGTGTCCTCATTATAGAGTTCATAAATGAAAGTACTAACAGCAAGTCCAGGATGTTTGGGAGTTCCAGTTTTGTTCAGCACGTGCCTGATCAAATTGCTGTTGTAAGTATTGGCATTTTCTAATGTTGCATCTGGCTCATTAGAATCTCCCTTAGAAGGCCAGCCTGATTCTGTCACTATGATCGGAACATTAGTGAAGTTAAGGAAAGCCATGGCATAATATGCTGCATCAACTACAGCATCAAAAACATTAGCGTAATGAAGAAGCGTGTTGGAATCAATAGCTTCTTTGTTTGGAGGGAGGGATTTGAGGAGTGCATAATCTAATGGAATGACACCATTTGATTGCATGTAATCGTAGTATGGGTATATGTTGAGCATGAGAAACGATCCTGTGGACTGCAAGAAACTAAGCATGGGGACCAAAACTGGATTCAGTGAGCGATTAAAGAAGGCTTGGGAAGGTGGGAACGAATCAAGGATAATAGAGGAAGAAAGAGGAGTTGAAACTTTGATTTGGCGGTCAAGATTGGATGCCACAAGAGCTGATTGAATGTACTTGAGAGCATTGACCAGGATTTTTGCAGCATTTGGGAGCGTGGTGAGAACCTCTGAGCCAACAGCTATGGCTGTGATATTTGTAGCTGGGTAATGTGCTACTACATTCTGGGATACCCAATTAGCTGCAGTTGCATTAGATTGGCCAATTCCAAGGATCTGCTCATTCGGGACAGATATCATAACTTTAATTCCTGTGTTTGCAAGTGCAACAAGCATGGCACGGTCAGCGTCATATAACCGGACATGTCGAATTTGCTGAGCTTTCAGGAGGGCTACAACTTGCGTTGGGTGTGGCATGTCTGAGAGGTCTGTCCCTATATTCACGCCGATAAACACATCTGCAAAAATGAATCAAGCCATTGTAATTTCTTATTGGTTGAATGTTAGTTGAATTTAACACAGACGCCTGCTATGATGGCAATAATTGATTCAGTTTCGAGTGTTGAGGTACAAGTTTGAAAAGTTTGACAGCGAATATTTGATGGACAAGAAAAAAATGGCACATTCTTCTCATTCACAACATTACAAGACAACAACCATTTACAACAAAATAAGGGGGAGAAGTTACCATGAAACTCATTCATGATATTTGTACCAGAATAGAACTGTGAAGACCATGAACTTGTAAATGTACATTGTACATATACGAGTGTCACGAGTAAGCTTAAACTCGAGTTGGTTTGAATGCGTTTGATGGAGGAAAAAGCAATGCAAAACTCTGTTTATGGTTAAGAACACACAAGTTTGGGATTCCAATAGATTTGAGTTTAGGATGATTTCAAATTATTGATTCATTTCACTTATTCATTAATGTAGTTAAAGGATATTGGAAATCGATTAGGACAGAGTGTAATGAGAATTCATAATCCTTGCATTGTTGAAAACAAAAAATACTTGTTTGGTACTAAAGTACAAGACAAAATTGAAAATCTTGATTCAGTTTAGAGAAAAGAATGTTAATGCACGAGTTTGAAAATATAAAAATAAATAGCAAAGAGCAAATTTGCATATTAATTATTGGTTAGATTTTTGACAAAAACTAGCAAGACCATTATACCAAGGTAAAAACTAAACTAATCCAAGCATGCGCTAGACTTAGGAAACAGTACACTTTTATGAGGACATCTGCTGTATAATATTGTGTAACTGAATACAGCACAGTTCTAACCAGAAGTGCCTAAATTTTGTAAACTTTGACCATTTTCACTGCTACCAAGGTAAAGAGTAACAGCTAACAACAAATCACCCATGACCTGGAAGACAATGGTATATTAACATTGTCAAGATTGAGAGGGTTACACCGATCTCCCCAACTTAACCATCTATCTAGTAGCAAAACATGCCTTAATTTTATCAGAAAATGCCTCGTTTGCAATCAGAGGTGTTTGCAGGTTTCCGAGTTCCGACGTGGGTCTTTTGCCTTCTTCAACATGTTATACTATTAAAAATAGTATTCAATTTATATGAAAATTTGCACTCTCATAAGTGCCTTCTGATTTTTTTTAGTGCAACTATATATTTTACACTAAAAGGAGGGGTGAGGTTGGCTAAACCACACAATGGACAACCTAATTGGTATCGAATTCGTTATCTACGAGATTCGAACTTAAGACCTCTCGCAAGTGAAGAGGAATACACGAGACTGTTGTACTGAGTGGCTTGTATTTGATTTTTTATTATACAAAAGATTACAGATATGAGATGGTGAAAATAAAATTTCAGAAGATTTATTCATATTAAGTTGTGCAAGGTTGTTGCTGGAAGATTGCATACAATTCCACACCAGGTATCCTGAATGCACATCTGAATTCTAAACAAAGCCTTGTAGCTTGTAATTAAATAAGTGGCCATAAATAAGTCAATAACAAAGGAATTCGTGGCTGAATATCATTAAATTTATGATATGCATTAAAAACAAAAACGGTTGGATCTTGGTGGGTTTTGAGGAAAGAGGTGAAACAATGACTCAGGACAACACAAGAAGATAAATTTGTTAATGCAAACCATCACCATCAACTCGAAATATTACAATAAACAAGTAAATTATCACACAAAAAGACTAACAATGCTGACAAATATGGAGGCATAGAACTCAAAAACTTTCAGAGAAACCACATCAAAGTAAAATAGTGAATAAAGATGTAACCTTCATCAGCTGTAGCAGCTGAAACTGCTAAAAGGAATAGCAGAAGCCTCCCAGCCATGGATTTCTTCTCCAAAATACCCATCAAAGAATCTAAAACAAACCCAACAACGCACAGAGAGAGAGAGAGAGAGATGAGTGATGAGTGTTAGGATGGAAACATAAGAAACCCAAGTCAAGAAGTAAAGTGAGGATTAAAGTTGCAGGGGGTCGGGGAATATATGATAATCTTGGAACTGTGAGAAGGAAGACAAATAGAGAAGGGCCCACATGGCCACATATCACGTGGCAATAACATAAGAAAATCAAACGGCCAAATGAACGTCTCTTCTCAAAACTGTAATGAGGTGTAAAATAGAGCAACTACTTTAAAGGGATGTATTTTTTTGTGCCGTTTTGATTTAATAATACAATATTATATGAAAAATTACACATGATATTACATTTCTTTATCGAATTATTATGCTTTCATAAACCCGCTCTATGTAAATAACTCGCACAGCAGTGTTATGTTGGGTACCGTTATGAAATGAAAATGAGACAGGGAAATAGGTTTTTTCTGCTTTTGTGCAGTGCAGCGTTGGTTTTGTAAAATTTCTGAGATCTGTCTTTTTCCTGTGTGCTAATGGGATAAGAGAGGAGGGAGAGTGTGGGTGGGACCGATTTCTGTACATACAATACAATGCAAACAAACAACAGTACAGCACCCCACCACCACCAGCGGGAACACCGAAATGACCTAGTTACCTGGTCCCAACGGTCATATTTCCCGTCGTTTCTGCTTTCCATTCAACCCATTGTTTTTTGTTTTCTTTTTCCTTTTGCTGCAAGCATTCAATTCATTGATTGCTTATCCAAATAGGTAGTTTGAATGCTAAATGCACTATCTGCTTTTATTTACTTTGATTCTTTGGCCTTTGTCCCGTTAATATTTTTTTTAGATAACGATGTATTTTATATTAAGATGATCAAAATTTATCATTTATGAGATTCGAATCTAAGTCATCTCACTTACAAGTGAACATGAATAATATTGAGTGACGTTAATATTATTCTTTACTTAACAAAAACAAATGAAAATTGTTATTAACACTCTAAAATTCTCATTTTTCACTCTAAACCTTTTATATTTATAAAGAAAAATACACTTGTAAAGAGTACAAAATAAAAATTTTGAAGTGCCAATAATAATCCTAAAATAAAAATACTAAATGAACTATTATTTACCAAAAAGAAAATACAAAATGTAATATTTCACTGAAATTTTTGAAAATTTGCATTGTTTTAATTTAAGAAAGTTAGAACTTTGCTCATTGCTTTCTCAACCTTTACCCAATTAAAGCATTATTCTTTAAATTTTGGTGTAATTAGAGATCTAGTTTCTGAACTCAAAATTCATGAGCCAATCCCAACTTATTCAGAAACCAAAAGTTTAGCGTGAGAGATTGCATGACCCCTTTGGTGTTGGTTATGCATGAGTTTAGGAGAAAGGAGGTTTTGAAATCATGGCTATTATTTAGACAGTTTGAAACTATGATGAAGCTATACGGCCTGGTGGATCAAATGATCGAATGACTACGGCTTTTATGTATGGATGTATTTAGATGAGAGGATTTAAAGGATGTATATTTGGGGTGGCTTAACATTCTATTTCCTATGCAACTCAAAGTTTGTTAGTTGTGAGGTTGCAACTTGAATGCCACTATTGATGCATGATCTCCAATTGTGATCTCCTTCTTGTTTTTATTTATAGGTGTTGGAGTTTTGAGCTCCTTTTAAGTCTGGGAATTTGAGGTCCTTATATTAATTTAGTATTCTTTATTAGTGAATATGTGTTGGACCATTTGGAATGGGGATTGAGGCTTGGGCTACTAATTGTGTGGATTAGGCTTGATGATTATACCATAAAATTAATATTAATTAATCAAGACAAGGGCCTAAGAATTAAAATTAATCAGATCATTAATTTTAAATTCGAATTAAGTTTTTAATTAAAAATGTTTTGATTAATAGACACAACTCTTTGGAAAGTAGCTTCAAATACACCCAAAAGGTATTTGAAGAGGTATGAAAGAGTCTATATAACTGGAGTCTCATTCCATCGTAGATTATCTTTTTCCTTCCTCCTTTTCTTCTGTACAAACTTTCCAAAGAGTAAACCCACAAAGCAATTCGCTAGAATTCTATAATCCAATGCGGGTTGTAGAATTAGGTAGTTGTATCCTGGTCGAGCAGACATTGTAGAACCACAAGCACAAGAGTGGGACGGAAATATTGTTCGAATGACATAGCTTTAGCGCTAGCCTCTACCTTTGATTCATTCAAGTTAATATCATTTTATTTATGTATTTATTGTGGAATTTCATTATGTATTGCAAGTAATTTTGAGTAATAAAGTATAAGTATTTCAAGTTATGTATTTTTGTTATTTTTGTTTCTAAATTGTTCTCCAACAATAGGTACAATGTGCTAAGCAAGCAAAGGAACTTGCTTCCTTGAATCAACCTTCTAGGGATACACCGCTGAGACAAAGACAAAGTTTTTGCCATGATGGCTGGTATGAAGTCTCTAAAACCAACTCTAATGAAATGACCTCAACACAAATATTTGGGTTTAAATTAACAAATGCCACCCAAAGCTAAAACCCAAATTTTTTAAATTTGGGTTTGGCCTAAATCAAAACCCAAATTTGGATTTAAATTTTGGCTGACCCAAATTTGGATTTAAATTTTGGCTGACCCAAATTTGGGTTCAAATTTGGCTGATCCAAATCTTGAGTGGGCCTAACTTTTTTAAAAAATGTGGATGAAGGGTTAAAGTTAGTGGTAGATAGTTGGGTCATTGCATGGCAGAGACCGCAGTTGTGGGACCATGATTTTTCAATGCCGGAGTAAGGCATATCAAATATGACCACCTTCAAAAGTCCAATCATGGACTCAACAACTTCCATCATAGAGTTGCACAGACGATCAGCGATGCCACCATCATTCTATTCTAGAGCAATGGGTGACTTCACTAAGATTGACCATGTTTGTTCCACCAGATATGGAAATTTGATCCGGTATGGAATCAACTAGGTTTCTCATATGCTTGGAGTTCTACAATCTAGGGATTGGCGTGTACTGCAAGTAATCACACATCTAAAAAGATGTAATATCTACTGTAGATATCCTCTGGGATTCTCACGGTTTAATACGGATTTTATATCCTTAAAAGACTATATCTAGATTGGAATAAATACACCATTCTAGGGTTCATCTCAGATAATGCTTACTAACTTGAGCGTTGGAGAGCCTTTAATCGGCACCCTCCTTCGGTTCTTGGGCTGTTTACAGTTGTTTGTTGTTTTACAATTAAACATGTTTGTGCATCTCCACCCTTCACGGCAGTGTGCAAATTTGGTTCCAACAATAGGTGCTTGCACTGAGAGTGAATTCATATTCAACCTAATCAAATCATTCTACCACAACCATGTCTGCAGAAGAAGCTTAGTTAACACTAATATTAACACTACGACAGGAAATAACCCATTTCCCAAAGCCTAAGTCACCCTCAGCATAGACAATCTGTTTCCCGATATCTTTACTACTCTTGGTGTGAGCAATCAGGACCCTGATACTAAACAATCCCAGGAAATAATGATGTTCCCATTACTAGAACCCTTCCCACCATGGAACAGATTTGGGAGACGTTATTGAAGATCAACACCTTTATTGATTAATTGCAGAGAACCTACATGGCTTCATGGGCTAAAAGTCATTCAAACTTCGTGGATATAGAGAAGCGGATGAAAGCCTTGGGAAGCTCAAGCAGACTACTCCACAAACCCATATTCATGTCTTCAATTATGGTAATTTAAGTACCATAACCTCAAAGGGCAACTAATCGTGCCAATGTTTGTTCTGACCCTAGCACAGTTGATGATCTGAACACGAGCGCCTTACACGATGCCCACGTCAAAACTCGGAAACCTAACAAAGTAAATTCAATTATCATACACTTATCATCTTGCCTATTGCTTGAGTCTCGTAAATTTTCTTACTAACTTAACCATCGGAGAGCCTTTGATCGGCATCCCCTGGTTATTGGGCTGCTTACACTTGTTTGTTGTTTTACAAGTAAACGAGTTTGTGCATCTCCACCTTTCACGGCAGTGTGTGAATTTAATTCCAACAACAATTGTCCAACGATCACTATTGGTTTGAATTTGAACCTTCGATTTCTGGATCATAGGCTATCAACAGTCTAGATCCAACTCCCAATTTATAAACAATACTTTGAAATTGATCTAAAGGTCCATATTTGTTTTTATCCAATCCAACGGTAAAAAAAGATCCATAAACTTCTTTAGGTTAAAACATTCATAAAATTAAATTAAGTTAACATTAATCAAAGTTACAAAAAAAAAAAAAAATCCTTATTAAAAAAATCAGGGTTAAAAATTTTCCACTACAATTAATACATTTTAGGTCTTAAAATTTAGGTAGGAAGGGTTGAATGACATTATTTTATTTTTTTGTCTTTTAGTGGACCTAAATATTTGGGTTTAGGTCCAAGGGTTGGAGTTGGTTTTATGGACATCTTCAAATGCAGTGCCTGGACTTCGAAAGTTTTGCCTTCTTATTCTCTGTTAACAATAAGGATATCCTTATAAAAATTCTTGTCCTATTAGGGCAAGTTGGTGATATAAATTTCTCATTGAAGAATTGCATGCGCTCGGAAGAAGTAACAGTGCTTGGTATTCTGCTAAATTATGAAAAGGTGCCCGGAACTCTTGGATTTCAAGCTCCGCTTCATACCACTAATCCATGAGCTTAAAGCTAGTGATGATACAAAATGACGTAGCAGTCAAGTTGCAGAGAGCAAGGTTGTAGTCAATCAACACCTCATTTGTGAAGTCCAAGGGGGAACTTTAAGCCCAAATCTAAGTACCATAAGTGGATTTTGGTACATGGACATCATGCGGCTATCAGATTAGGAAAGGGGTATGTATGCCTTCACTGGTCGCCCACCGGAGTGTATAGCCATTCTGGAGATCTTGCTTTTGCCTGGCAAAAGCTTCGCAGTCTCAGTAGTTTGAAGGTGGAGATGCACAAGTCTGAGTAACTTATAAAAAAGTAAACAACCATGAGCAAGCTAAATACTAGGTGAGGTGTGTTCGATTAAAGTATCTCTAACAGTCAA